ATTTTCAAATTAAACTGATGTAAATGTAATGGTTCAAAGAAAGTACGGCTGTCAGATAACAACCTTTTAGTGAACTTAGCCAGGTAACCGAGAAGCAGCTTTAATACACCGGCCGTGCGAGCAACAACCGCGTGCAAGGGGTGTCGATATCCCTTGAGCAGGTAGGCAACCAACGCGAAGTGAAAACTGTGTTTAAAGGATAGCCCGGCTTCCTGATCGAACGCTTTGAACTCCCACTCGAGAGCTGGCCTAGTTTCCATCATCATGTGCTGCAGGGTCTGAAAGAACAAATACGAATTATGTGGTTATACGTGTGGCTGTTGGCGAATCAACAAGATGGCCAGTGCCTACGTCGTTTTCGAAAACGTTGTTTGAGTCCAGGGTTCGCAGATTCTGTTCCAACAGCGCCAAGCCGTACTCGTACAGGTCGACGTCCTCCACTTGTAGGATGATGACCGAGATCCAAAACAACGTTCGGAGTATGATCGAGTTCTGAACAAACAACACGTTAGAGAATACGATAACGCTTGTACGTGTCAGCTTACCGCGGGAACGAAACGTAAAAGACGAGTGAGCGACATTATGGAGGCGATCAGCAAATTCTTGTCATCCCGTCGTTTGATGAACTGCACCGCAAAAACGATTCGTTACAACAACGTGTTCAACGGCTATTTGCGGCGAACCTTACCTGTAGAAAAAGTACGAGCAACTGTTTCATCGTCACCTCGTCAGTGTCTTTCGACAGACAGCTGAAGACGACCAATGCTCGCGACTGCAACGCAGGATTGTACTTGAGCGCAAACTTGTACGATATGTTCGCCAGTTCGTCGCACAGCGTTCTTTCCGGTATGTCTTTATTGCATGCCTGAACATATTAGATGGTTGAGTACGTCAACATGAGAATACGCTACAACAACAAAAGTTTAAAGAGAACGACGTGGCAAGCTCCGTCGCTTGTTCGTAAACCCCGCAAGTGTGATTATGAATCAGCGGGCACATAAAGCAACCGCTGCTGTTGTCGCTGAACATCGCTTCAGGAACGATTTAACAAAAAGTGCGACATTAAAACAGATTACTCCAAAACAGAAAAATACTGTCATTTCGTGGTACTTTAGCTACTCCATGACTTAAAGAAGATGGCATCTTAACCTTCTCATACTCAGTTCTCCGGATTACAAACTGCTGATCCAAAACAACAGCTGATCACTGTTCGTATGTATACATTTATGAACTCTCTAGTCCTTTTCGTGACTCTTGTATCGGACTGCTGAAAAGCAACCTGTACCTTAGTTGTCTGCTCTAAAAATTAAAGATGAATTTGAATCTGATCTAGAAACGGCACCGCTCATTTGAAAGATTCATTAATACTCTTCAAATGATTTCTTGAAATCACGATATACCTTTCTTAGAGTTAAGATTCAGTCAGGGCAGCATCACAGTTTCAATTGCCAAGGTGCTGATTTCAGTTTCGGTCGAAGTTACGCGATTATACGCTTCGAAGTAGATAAACGAGTATCACGACGCAAAGAAGGGAATAAATGAGTACACCTGTCGCAATAACCGCAAAGATGCTAAAAATATTTTAGCAAAGAAAGCACTTGAGCTTGTTGGCATCGAAACGGAAACCCTTTCACTGTTTCCATCAACTCCATGAAGAAACGAAACCGCCAGTCGATCATAAGAGACACCGATATTTCAACGAGTAAAAAGTTTCCCATTCTGTTCAGTCCAAATAGCCAAACTAAGCTTACCTCTAAAAGTTCGATCAGTGCATCGGTAATCGTTTCAAGGCCGGACAAGCTAAGGTTGTCGTCAAGCAATGTAGTGCTGCCCGATGGAGAACAGTTGACATGTGTGTGCATCGGCAAAGACATCAAAGGCGAGACCCGAAATGCGGTTGAGGCGATTGACTTCATCGTCAAGTGAGTGAGTCCGAAAAAGCGATAGAATTTTGGCAACGAAAACTCTGTGAGCGCCAGTCGCAAAGTTCTTTTGGTCGAATCTTAAGAATACGGGTATGACAAATTTTCTTACATGAGTTTCAAAGCGAATTAAGCACACGAACATACCAGAAAATGGATACGAGCAGGTGTACAACGAATGAATGACGTTTATCACGATGCCGTGTACTGAAGCTCGTATGCACAGCGGGCCCGTGCCCACTAGAAACGTAACAAGTTGAAACAGCACCGGCATATTTTCCACAACTAGAAAAAGGGCCATCGACCGTCATAAGTTTAATAAAATAAACAGACACGTGAAGACAAGTGCCACTTACCTTCCAAACGGTTGTTGAATGACAGAAAGAGAACGTAACGAATGAGGATCGCTATATCTTCCCAAAATATATGCTCTTCCAGTTTCTTCTGAGGATGAAGACTAGTTTTCTCTAACAACTAAAACATTATTTTAAAATTACAACGTCGCTAGCATTTGCTAACTGTTCGCTGAATATCATGCTCCAGCGAAGGCATTTCTCCCACTGAGAATGAAAGCCAGAACCCGTATATGAGAAGAAAAAGAAACAAGTGTATACACGTGTCAGCCAAGAACATCTTAATTTTCTTGAACGCAATATCTACAGTTGGAGTGCTAACACCCCATTTCTGCCTCTTTCTCACGCCCTTTATAGCATTTCTGTTAAAAATAATCATTATTAATCCGGAAAGAAGGATCAGACATATTATCGTATTAATCTTCAAAAAAAAATCATGAGAAACTTTTAGCATATCGCGTACTTCTGAACAGAAGACGACGAAAGGTAATGCAACAATTTGGTTCCTTTACAGTATCGTTATAAACAATAACGATGAATGATTTGGAGATCGACAAGATGGTCGATCAACGATACCAAAAAATGGAAAATAAATTAATACGTCGTTCAAATAATCAGGAACTGAAACCTCGTTTAGAATTCTAAGTTCCGCTTCTAAATTCTAGTTCAGACATCGCCATTATTCCAGTTGAAGGACAGCATCTGACAGTAACTCATGTAGGAAATCATGTCGAGGCTGGTCGTCACAGGGAAAAAGTTTATTCGTTTTTCCTGAATAATTGTGACAATTTTGTTGTCATAAAAAATATTTTATATCTTAACGTGACTTATTACTGACTTATTATCCTAACGTGACTTATTATCTTAACGTGACTTATTAAACTATTTTAAAATGTTATAATTGTAAGTGAATAAGAACGGATAAAGCGCCGGGGTCTTTAAGCAAAACTTCAGTGAAGAAGCAGAATGCAAATTAATTAACAAAACACCTGTTCTAAGTCATAGCTTGAACAAGAACAATTACTAACCGTCATTAATCGGCTGAGGATTGTCGTTGATACAAACGAAACGTTGACTGCTGCCAGAGCCACCGTTGTGTCTGCCATGACTTCAGCTTGCCTAGAGCCCAAACCGCCAGCAATGCTTCTCTAAAAATAACAAATGCTCGTCGAATTAACAACACAATCCATGCCTTAAAGCCTGTATATGCAAGTACCGTTATCTGCCTAGAGAGTTGGATGTTGCGCAAAGGAGAACGACGCTGGATGTACACCGTACTAATGAGGATTTCCGATAGAGAACTGGTGTGATGGAGTTGGCAGCATCAGAACAACGAATTCTGAGTTACTCTACTGAAGCCGGACCTACTCCAGGTCAGAGTTCACGATTGCTTTCGTTTCGATTGTGATCAAGATGTCAGAGAAAATACTGTTAAGGATCAGATTTTCCGTCTCCCTTTCGGACGATATGAAATACAACTAAGGAAACAACGAACACTTCGTGAGGCTGCTGTTCTCGGAAAGCGAAATGAAAGCCATACTGATACATTTATATATCCATGAACATGGAGATCGACAAATTCTAGCCAAAGCTATCAAAAGACACCGTTGCATAATGGATATTTCTTGGAGTTGTAATCGGTTACCGATTACTATACAGGGCAACGCATAGACAGTATGCAGATGTCTGAGGAGGTCGAAACAACATTAGTATTGCGGAGACACTGTACTTAATTGAAATCTACCAAGGGTCAGTGGTATATGATGAGTACAGTTAACTCCTTGAATGTAAATGCAGTGTGAAACTCAGGTCAAAGACCTTACTGATAGTCAAACTTACTGCCATTTATTTCGCGTGAGAAAAAAATTGGGGTTGCTTGCATTCCAGCGGAGTATAGGGCATTGTTTTGTTCTGCACTTTGCCACAGCGGGTTCGAAGGAACTCAGAAGTTTCAGCAAGGAATTAACCCTCTGTGCTTCAACCGAGAAAAGGGTAGTCAGTCTGGTGACTTGGGAATAACGGTAATAGCACGATATTACGGTTTTAGTCATACACCATACCAAAGCGCGCAACATTTACGACCATTCTGTGATAAGCATGCGGTTTACGACTGCAACCGGCCCGACAGCTTACTACATAAGCACAACCCCTAAATTTAATTTAAACTTAGTTAGCCCTGCTGTCGCAGACTAAACTTTAGCGAGAGACTTGTCCAAAGCAAACGATGCTCAATCTAGCTGAGGATGAAAAGATTTAATAGCATAATTGCAGAAGAAAACACGGCCAAATAATTTTCACCATTCCATGTGTATCCTGTGACGACACCACCTCCTTTGACAGTGAGCCAGGTGTAAGATAAATAGAATACTAAATGAAAGAAGTCCA